ACCATAACTGTGTAGCTCGTTACTATCTTCAGCTCCTTATTTATTATTGTTACTTACCGAGTTGGTTGTACTCATACTACACCCTGTACTTCGTGTGCAGATCCAGGTGTTTTCGGATATAGCGGGTGTTGATTCTTTCACACAGTTGATTTTCTGGAGATTATGAGGTAGCTGTCGTATTTCGCAGACCATGCCTCTCCTTCCCTATCTCCTTATTTACTATATTTGGTCTCAGATTGTTATAGACCGTATTTTTCAGACTTATATTCATAATTAGAAGCTCATGTACTCACTGACATCAGATTTTGGGAGTGATTGTATCGATAATTGTAAGATTTGTGGATGTTATTTAAATATTATATTTTCAGACTTGAAAGAAGTTGTGGTTCATTGAGATTTCGGCTTGCCTAGTATTGAGATAGGCGCCATCACGACTAGTTAGAATTTTGGGTCGTGACAAGTATATAAGCTATATTTGATATAACATTAGCTATATTAATGTCACGACCCAAAATCCCACCACAGGCGTCGTGATGGCACCTAGTCTCTAAGATTAGTTAAGCCGATTTCTATTACATTTTGAAGGTATTTTAAAAAAAATAAGTAACCAAAACTGACAACGGAAATAATTACAATATACAACCTCCCAAGACTGGTAGTACTGAGTCACGAACTCTAACTGAATACATGGAATGATCACGAGGACCGAATATACGATACTATTTGATTACAAATTAACAGTACAAAGAAATGAAAAGACTCCAAGGGACTGCGACGGCCAAGCAGCTCTACCTTGAATCCTTATGATCGCGCTTTAGCTCTGCTCAAGTCCGATATCTCCAATACCCGGCTCTACACAAAAATGTGCAGAAGTGTAGTATGAGTACGCTACGGTCGGTACCCAGTAAGTATCAAGACTAACCCCCAATGGAGTAGAGATGAGGTACAGTCAAGACACTCACTAGCCTAATAACCTGTGCAATATAATATACAAAATAATAGGAAACAAATAATAATAAGGCAACATGAAACAACCAGTGATTTGCACAGCAGACAACAAAAAATCCATTAATATCGCTCAACAATTAATAAGTACAATTACACCCAATTAAATCAAGTCCTTCAAATAAATGTCTTTCACATATAATTCTTCCAAATAATTCTCTTTCAAATATAATTTTCTCAAATAATTATTTTTCAAATATAATTCTTTCAATAAATCTTTTCAAATAAAATTTTCTCAAATAAATATCTTTCATATAATACTTTCTAAGTAAAAATCCTTCCAAATAAATATTTTGAATATAATTCTTTCAATTAAAAAGTCACCATGTGACACCTCATTTCATAATCATAAAAATACGGGTCTCAACCCATTTTCATATTTTTTATAAACACGGGTCTCAGTCCATTTTCATATTTTTACGGTACCTCGTGCCCATAATTAAATCATCATATTTTTCCGGCACCTCGTGCCGTCATTTTATATCACAACTGCACGGACAATTCACGTGCCAATTATCATTATCATTTCATCACAGCACCTCGTGCCCACATTTCATATCACAACTGCACAGACAATTCACATGCCAAATATCATTAATATTTACTCACGACACCCCGTGCCCACATTTCATTTTATAATCCGCCTGGCAATAGCCACATGCTCTCAATTTCAACATAAATCAGATTGTTATCAATTCACCAACAACAAGACAAATTGCACAAGTTATAAAAGTAAACACAAGAAAATCACAACATCACATGAAAATTATCAACACCACAACCCCACCTCATCACATATCGTCCCTGACAATAGCCATCCTTATCGCTCCTATAACCACCCTTATCACTCCTATAGCCACCCTTATCGCTCTGCCCACACAATATCAATAGCCACCCTTATCGCTCTGCCCACACAATATCAATAGCCACCCTTATCGCTCCACCCAGACCATATTCCAACAAACACAACCACCGTGAAATTCTACCCTTATACCCATATAATATCAACGGTGAAATGACACCCTTATATCCTCAAAATAATAATTAATACAATACAACAATTTACACAGAAATTTATCACGGCAACATAACAAAATCAATTCATATCACAATTTACTCAATGACCACAACAAATTCCAAGGATATAACAAAATCAATTAATTTCACAACAAATAGCCAAAAGCTCCACACAATGTGTACAACACCCAAACACAACCAATAGAGATAAAAATTACTCATCATAAAGTAAAACCTTCATTAATGCAAATTTAGATAATTATATTAACACTTATTCTTAAGCTCGCTTAAATTAATTATTTGCATAAGAAAATTCATATTGGAATTAATTTCCAAGAAATATTAAACCAACAATACTCACAAAATTTTATAAATATTTCATGTAACAATCACATCGAATTATCATATAAAAACAAATTCAACAATAAGGATTTAGGCATGGCAAATATATGATTTAATAATTTTTCACAATTTTCTAATTTACTACACAATAATACATAAGACTTTAATTCAATAAAATTTTGCACGTATAAGCCCGAGTACATACTCGTCACCTCGCGTACATGGCTTTTCACATTTCACAAATGACACATAAGACTCAATACCTAAGGGGTAATTCCCCCACTCGAGGTTAAGCAAGACACTTACCTCTTTGAAGTTAGGCCGATATTCTAAAATAGCCTTCTTTCTTGAATGGCCTCCGGACAGCTCAAATCTATCCCAATTAATTGTATAACTTCATTAAAATTCATCGGAAACAATTTCGGATAATAATACGTCGACTTAAAATTTTATTCCAAAAGGTCAACGAAAATCAACGCGGGACGAGCCCCTCGAAACCCGACAATTGTTTCATTAAATCCGAACACCCATTCCGATACGAGTTCAACCATACCAATTTTATTGAATTCCAATAACCACTCGACCTCCAAATCTTAAATTTTCATTTTTGGAAGATTTTACAAAAATCTTGATTTCTTCCATTAAAATCCGAATTAAACGATGAATATAATCATAGATTCATGAAATATAATCACTTTAGTATATAGAACACTTACCCAAATCAAAGTCTTGAAGAACTTCTCCAAAATCGCCCAAAAACCGAGCTCCAAAATCTCAAATCGAAAAATGGCGAAATGACCATTTATGGTCCTTAATATTCTGCCCAGTTTCGCACCTGCGGACGAATTTTCGCACATGCGTGATCGCTCTTGCGAGAGAAATCTCGCTTCTGTGAAGGCCATTGCCCAGTCGACCATCGCATTTGCGGAAGCTTTTTCGCTTCTGCAGGACTCGCTTCTGCGATGCCTCACACGCACCTGCGATGCCCCTCTGCTTCTGTGCCTTCTCTGCCCGCTTCTACGCTTCCGTAGGTGCGGAGTTTTCTTCGCACCTGCGACCACTGCCATGCCTTTCCATCTTCGCTTCGCCGACTTAAACCTCGCATTTGCGATGTCGCATCTGTGAATACTTTCATCGCAGATACGATGAAACCAGTGGCAGATTTCCAACAGACCTTCAAGTCCAATATTTGGTCCGTTTAACCATCCGAAACACGCCCGAGGCCCCCGAGACCTCAACCAATTATAACAACATGTCCCAAAATAAAATACAAACTTAGTGGAGGCTTCAAACCATGTCAAACAATGCCGAAATTACGAATCTCCCATCGAATCGAATTATAGGCTTTTAAATTCTTCCAACTTCTATATTTTGCGCTGAAACGTATCAAATCAATCCGGAATGACTTCAAATTTTTCACACAAGTCATAATTGACGTAAGGGAGCTATTCCCATTTCCGGAATTAAAATCCGACCTCATTATCAAAAACTCATCCGTCGGTAGAAAATTTTTTCTTTCCAAAATCTTCTATTTTCCAACTTTCGCCAAAATGTGTCGAATTGTCCTACGGACTTCCAAATCCAAATCCGAATATACGCCTAAGTACAAAATCATCATACGAAGCTATTACCATCATCGAAATTCTATTCCGGGGTCGTTTGCTCAAAGGTTAACTCCCCAGTCAACTCTTTCCATTTAAGCTTCAAAATAAAAATTTTTCTTTAAATTAAATTTCGAATCTTCCGAAAACCAAAATCGACCACACACGTGGGTCATAATACATATTGTGAATCTTTTTGAGACTTTAAGTCATTAGACGGGGCGTAATTTCTTAAAACGACAAGACGGGTCGTTAAGATATATATATATATATATATATATATATCTATTTGTATATATCTATAGTATAGTATATTATACTATACTATATATTTGTGTGTGTAAATAATAATTTTTTAAAAAATAAACAATATTTAATACTTATTTGATATATATATATATATATCCCAATTATAACCAAACTCTAACCTACCTTTTAATTTTAGAGAGCACCCACACAAGAGAGGGCTAAGAGAAAACATAGCAAATAAAAACCTAGAGCTCTAGCATCAAAAGGTTGCGCATCAGCTTCATCCTCTAAGAAAAATCAGCGGCTCTTTCCTCGTCAACAAGATAAAACACCAAGTGTTTACCATGAAATTTCACCCATAATACCATCCTTCTTACCAAACCAAAGGGCACCATTTTCAGCTCTAAAAACTCGAGCTCAAACCATCCCCAAACCCATGTAAAACTCCATTAAAACAACCCTTGAATCGCCAGAAAAGAGCTGCGAAAATCAGCTCCATGACACCTCAAAATTCCAGAAGTTTTTTCCCTTAAAACCATCCCCAAATTCTCTGTTAAACCCATTCGCACAGCAGTGAAAACGTAACTGTAAACTCACTCACAAATACCCCAAATTCCAGCTCCAAATTACCCTGAAAATCAGCTCTAAACCATCCCCAAATCATCCCCTAATAGCCCCCCCCACCT